ACACTCACACATTCACATTTACATATAGATACATGAAAAAGCAGAACATGAGAAAAAAAGCATTTTAAAAGTTTACTCCAATGTAAACACATATTTTTAATTGTCTATCACTTGAATCTTTAGTTGAATCAGTATTTTTTGAGACCAGAAATGTTCATTTGAATTCTATATTGTCATGGACTTAATTGACGTCTGTCCTGACACTTTTGATTTGTTGATTTTGTACTGTGTGAAGTAATTACATTGATGAGGATTAGATCTGATAAAAACACAAATTAGAGAAGTAAACTGCGCTTGCTTTTGTCTAAGGGACATTAGCAACAGCATGAATATAAATTGTCTTTAAAGTAGAATCAAAGTGACTTAACCATAGAGAGTAACTATTGCATAACAAGCTGTGTACAGGAACTGTGACACTGCACCATTGACCAGAAGTGCATCGCAAATGACCTGATGTGCTTCGAGTGAAAAGACTGTATCTGGAGATCTGATGTCCAACTGGAGAGACCAAAACCATGGCTTGGACCCTACTGATGTCCAAGATGACATCTCTCAAAATATGAACCTGATGAAGACTGAGACTCACCCTCAGGGGACCCTGAGGACCTGAGGACCTGAGAGAGAAAACTGGGGAGTGATGTTTATATTTTTGAAATCATACATTGATGAGTGCTAAATGAGACAGATACTCATGATTCTTTCTTTTGTTTTTGTTTGTCTCTAGCTTCTGGACATCTGATGATCTATTGGACACAGCCATTTGCAGAACAAGAACCAGCCAATGAAAAACCATCTATTGCCGATGCTATTGCTACAACCAGAACCACAACTGTGACAAATGCAATGGATGTTAAGTATTCAGACATCAGACAGACAAAACTTTGACTTTTTAGTCTGGGAGACTGAGCAACAGTTAAAATGTTTTAAAATGATAAAGTATGAGTATTGTAGCGTTTTAATAGTAGTAAAAAAGTAGAATTGTCCTTCCTTTGTTGTTCATAAACACATTTCCACATAAGAGTTAAAATAGTACCATACAATGTTATCTCTGATAGAGCAGATATAATATTAGAATCAGAGTTATTTTAGAGATATTAAAAGTGACAAAAGTTACAAATTAGGAATATGCCTTTGCTCAAGCTGCAACCGAGCTTTAGAGTCACAATAGAGTAAAAATAGGAATAGATAAATGCATCAACCATAGATGCTTTCAAAAATAGAGAATATTTCTAGCCATTGGTAATATCAAATGGTAAAGGGACCATTCCACAAACCTTTGCTTCAAAAGTAGATAAAGTTACTTACAGTTTTATGTACAGTTTTATTAGATACTGCCAAATTCACTTGTGTTCAAACATCTGTGAATGTTGACAATACAAAAAGTTCATATGAGTGTAGTCTAGATTAATGCCTAGATCAATGAGATAGATTAGAACCAACAGAGATTCAAAAGCATTTAAAAGCATTTTGATGCATTTGGGTATAGCACAAAAACAAAAAGTAGACATTTAGATATTGAGAAGTTTTCAGCACAGATTAGAAAATCAAACACCATTGTAGAATAATAACTGACCCCAACCCCAAACCTGCTAAAATAGATTAGCTCTTGTAAGGAAAGTAATGATTTACATTCATCCCAAACTGCCTGATAGGAGGAAGTGACAGCACTTCCTGGTTCAACAAATGTATTTGGAAAACTGACTGCCATAATAATGTGCCACTGATAAGGAAAGTAAACCACAGAATAGAGAGATTTGTTGGATTGAAATGTATGTTTGAGAATGTGGCTCAATGGAAGCAAATATGCAAACATATTTGTAGGTGGATTGGAATAGTTTTAAACTATAGTGAATAGTAAAAGTAAAGTACACAGTGTAAGATTGAATAGTGAAAATAATACAGTGAAATAAATGAAGTGTAAATAATTAGCATTAGAATAAAAGTATAGAGTAAGAAAAGTGAAATTAGCTTCAAATTTGAGACTCAGCTCGTTTTTTGTCTGTGTTTTGACTGAATCTGCTGAGTTCTTGTGTGTCCAATAGAGTTTGTTTTTGTTTGTTTTGTTTTCCAGGATAGAGGATAAAATCCACTGATATTGATTTAAATATTGATTTGTGATCACATGTGTATGTGATCAAGAGAGGGACTGTGAATATCTAATAATTATTTGCTTGCTGAAATGTCATGTTAAACAAGTTCAGTAGAGTTTGGGAGGCTTACACTGTACTTTGAACTGCTTACAAAAGCATGGAAACAGATAAGACAGAACAAACAGTAAACATGTGCAGTATGGATGGTGTACGTTGGAGTTTGCTCCATTACAAAACAGTTATATCACAGTTGTACGTTGAAACCATACGTTCTCTTCTGCATAGTCATGCTTATATAATCATTTACAATGTATATAAGGGGTTAGCCTTTGCCTGCCCACTAGACTTCTGCTAGAGCCAGACGGGAGGCTGCGTTATGCTTGATCAGAATACGCTCAAACCTTCTGACAATAAAACTATTGAACTACGCAGTCGAAGTCTCGTTTTGTCTTACGTCTGGGTATATTCACAAATACAATAGAAGTACATAGACAAGAAAACAATATCACGTTCATCAGATACTGATTCATCCACTCGTTATTTAAAACCTATTGCACTTTAAATAAGACCGTTTCTAATACATGTTTATACTTCTGTTGCTTTGTATCTTAATGTGGCAGTAAAAGACTCTTTTTCAAAGTGCTGGTTCTGAACTGGTCCTGGACTGGTTCTTAACTCAGCTTGGTTTTCCACCAGAGAAGAGCAAGTGGTAGTTACCATGGCAACACACTGTTACTTGACATGGGTCTTTAGCATTAGCCTGATTTTGCTGTATTTCAAATTATATTGTCCAGTTTTAACGTACAGAAAAACATGTGAATCATTAATTTTTACTAAATCTGGTGCAAAACAAATTATCTTTAGGGGGCCCCAGGAATAGTTATTATTAAAATAGTGTGTGACTGTTCTCTTTTGGTTACAAGTAATACAGCACTTTAACACAAACTTAATATTGATTACAAGCCCAAAAATTAAAACCAGAACTCTTTGCATCCGAGTGCCTCTGACTCATTTTCTCTCAAGATATCTAACTTGCCCCAGCAGAACAGCACCGGCCGGCGGCTTCTAACAACTTTTGAGCCCCTGAGCACTCGTAGCCTCTCCTTCTGACAAACTTACTATTATTGAAATAAGAAGTCAAAGTCAAACAACTGAAAATATGTCTTATACTCTCGGTTCTTCAAAGTAGAACGTTTTATTCTGATTACTGCTTCGCACACTCTTGGCATTCTCTTGATGAGCTTCAAGAGGTAGTGACCTGACATGGTCTTCAACAGTCTTGAAGGAATTCCCAGAGATGCTTAGCACTTGTTGGTGCTTTTGCCTTCACGCTGTGGTCCAACCCCAAAACCATCTGGATTGGGTTCAGGTTTGTTGACTGTGGAGGCCAGGTCTAGCCCAGGAGGCCAGGTCTGGCCCACCACTCTCCTCATTGGTCAAATAGCCAATAATCTACAGTCAATGGTCAAGAAAAGAAAGGAAACTCATTGAATGAGAAAGTGTGTCCAAACTTTTGGTCTGTACTCTCACCTCTGTTGGAGCTTCTCCTAGTTCCGGCAGCTCTCAGCAGACATGGCTCTGATCGTATATACACTGATGGGCTGTGGTCAGGTGCAGGGGGTGTGGCTCTCTGTGGTGCTAAGCGCTGGTGGAGGCTCCTCTGCTTCGGGTGTCTTCTAAAACTGGCTCTGGGCCCCTGCTCCACTGACATCATGGTCGGACAGGTGAAAAGGCACTGACGAACATCTTACAGGCAAAGGCCACTCGCTCCTGTCTCTGGCTTTTGCATCTTCAAACAGCAATCTGCCATCTGACGACAAAGGGCCAGTTGAATTGCATTGACCTTTTCGTTGCTGGTTGGAGTATGCAACAGTTCTGTGCCAAATCCACTGAAAAGGTGCCTCTTCTCATCACCTCAAACGTGAAGGAGCAGCGGCTGCAGTCAGAAGCTAACTCATTTAGAGCCTTGTATCTGATATCTTGTCCATTGGGCCATTTTCCAAAGCTCTTGGTTTAAACATACACTGGGCAGAGCTTTGACTGTAGACGCTGCTCCCTCTCCACCACAACAGTAAAAAAGTTCTCCTCAGCACCTGCACCGTCAGAGTAAAACAGGAGAATGGCATTATTGTAATCTTCTGTCTGTAAATCCTCATACAGTGTTATAAGAGCATAGTTCAGAAGAGCAGCAGGACACAATCTAAAGGCCTCTCACTTGAGATGAGTCTGGTCTCTTTATGCAGGACTTGTTCCTCTCTTCCTCTGATGTGGACTGCAGCATCCACAGGTCACTGACAAGAATAGATCCTACATTTGGTCAAAAACAAGTTTGGTGTCACTTACATTCTAATGTGCTGACACAGACTGAACAATGGCGACCTCTGCTGTAGACCTAAAATCATGGCAGGTAAACAATATGACAGAAAAACATACATGCTGTAAACCCAAACCAAATTAGTTTGTTTGCATAAAGGCTCAAATGAGATAGCATGTAAAATATAGAAAATCTGTCTCAAATAAAATTCAGAGTAAAACGTTTAAGATAAGTTTTCAGTTAAGTATGGGATTGTGTGTTCAATCATATAAAATAACACACTAAAAATGTGTTCATACCTTTTTATTGAGAAACAATAGCTGTGCCAGTTGATAAAGGTGAGGGTAAGTTTTTGGGTTATTCTTCCAAGATTGTAACGGGTCTTGTGCTCTGGGTGTGTTGCTTTCAGCCAAGTGGTGTTGGACTTCATCTAAGGTCTCTGGATTCGAAGTCATTCTATTTTCCTCAACTTCCATATCTAGCGGTTTCCAGAGATTGTGCCCTGAAACATATTTTTGAAACACATTTGTCATGTGATAATACACCAACAACAAACCACAGAAATGTACATATAAAATAAATAAGTCTTTTCATACCTGAACTTGCCATGATCCATGTGAGGAGCTTGGTTCTTCTGTTGGGTCAGGCTCATGGCTCCTCATTTCAGCAGCACACTCCGGCTTCAGTGTCTTAGCAGCTTCAGATGCTTTTAGTGGATTCAAGAAACCAATGGTTTTAAACCTGGGGTCCAACAGTGTTGCCAGTGTCATCACACTGAGAGATTACATGCTGCAGATGGACTCAGCATTCTCAAATTTTCAGCCAGTTCTTGGGCAGCTGGTTTTGTCAATTTTGAGGCTTGACGTTGAAGCTCAAAGAGGATCATTGTCATCAGTGGCAGAACCTTTGACCCGAGACTCTTTTTTTCCTCTGAGAGCTCTCTTGTGGCTTGGTCAGAAGGAGAGAGCACCCTGAGCATCTCTTCAATGACTTCATTCTTCAGGAGTCAGTGGAGTGATATCAGTTGTTAATGACTCCAGGGAAACCCAGACTGCCTCCTTCTGCTCAGTCCTTCCCTCAAACATGTGCTAGGTGCTGTTCCATCGTGTTGACACCTCATCTATGGTAAAGTGTTCCCAGCTGTTGCTGCGTTTGAGTGAGCTTTTCTTTAGCCGTGGTGCTTGATCTAAAGTATGTGACAATTTGCCGTGTTTTGCTGTGTCATTCTGCTAGTGTTGTTATTTGATCGCATAATTTTCACAATCAAATTGCTGGAATGGGCAATACAAATGGTATTTGCAGCATTCGAGCACATGACCTTGCTCGCTAGGCCCCACTCCTCCATGAGGGTCCTTTTAACCATGGCCATGTTTTCTGCAGTGTGTTTCTGTGGAAAATGCTGCACTCCCAAGACTGATGTACAGAACTCACGGCTTTCTTTGTCCATAGCGGCAGGTAACTGCAAGATATGCCTCCATAGTAACTGAAGTCCACATATCAGCTGTTAAAGTAACAGCAACAGCACTCTGGAAGTCTTTTTTTGTCTTTTCTTTTTCCTCCCCTTATCTCTGGCTCACCAAGTTCTTGATGTTCTAAAAATAACCATACAGCAATATTGTATAAATGAATACTTACATGTCTGTATCTATCAACAGTACTCAAGAATGAATACAAATCATACATTTCTTACACATACCTTCTGACTTGGGAGAACATATGAGGGTGCAACAAGCTGCATAAGCTTCCTGAACCCTTCTTTTTCAACAAAGCTGAGCGGCTGACAGTCTTTGATAACCATGTTGACCACAGCGTCATCCAGTGATTGCTAGTTATGAACTGACGGGAACATAATATTAGAGCCAAACAAAGAATTTTGTGTTAATGAAGTATTTTTGAAAATGAAAAGTGAGAATGAGATATTTTTATGAGAATAAGAACTTCATCATACCTTAAGTTCTCGCAGCATGAGTGTCTGCCTCCTCATTGCCGCGCTCTTGAATGCCTCAGCATTGACGAAGTGCTCTTATCGATGGTAGACAAATCTGTGGAGCAGAGCCGAAACTTTACCTACAAAAAAAAGGTTAAATTATTTGAAAACAAAATAAAATCATTTGATTAAACACTGACCGTAAACAATTCTTAAAAGAGGAAAAGATCAAAATTATTCCAGACTTGAGAAAACGTTCTCGAAAGATCCATGAGAACAGGAACAGCAAATGTAATCTCCATCCAACAAACCCGCAACATGTTGATACAGTTTGCTTCATTATAAACACAGTTTGCAGCTGCCCTTGCTGCAAAATATATATATATATATACTTAAGTATTTATATATAGTTAAATGATCACAAAACCTTCCGACCCTTTGTCAGGAGCAGAAGAGGGCACTTCACGCCACATGCAGTTCATCTGGTGTTGTGCCAGGACAGATGGAGCCTCACCCACAGGAGGGTTGATTAAAGTGCTCTGCTTCTTCTGGTCTTCCAGTATTGGAGTGCCAAACAAGGCTAGATTTAACCTTATTTGGCGCCAAACTTATTGTTTGACACCTGTAAAGGATTTGAGAGTGTCTCCTCTTCTGATCAAAAGTTTAAAGATATATATTCTTAACGGTTAAAGTACTTGCTGCTTTACTGCTGTGTGGATAAACAACTAAACATGATGTCTTCAAAACTAGATTGATTTAATATCGATTGTTTATTATTGTTATGTTGTTTTATCTCCACATGAGTTTGTGCGGCCCATAGGAGCACTCAATAGTTGTTTTCTAGCATGTTTGTTTCCCATGAAGGTAACGCTCCATGTTTGATGCTGGTGACAAAAGCCTTAGCTGTTAGCTTATCCAGGTCATGGTTAATCCTGCACAATCTCCTTTAGTGCTTATTAGCCTGCTGCTGCAACCCTTTCCCTCACAAGGAGAGGGACGACAGCCGTGCATGCAGACCTTAGTGACTTGGGGTGAGTGCTTCATTCTCATCTCTGAAAACCACAAACATTTGTGTTCACCTCCTTTTTCACATTTTAAAGAAAGGATGTGGATCTTTTACAGTCATCCTTCATTTCTCCATAAAATGATATGGTCAAGGTATAAGGTCAAGTGTATTAGCTAAATAATAATAACATTTCCATTCCATCTGTGTACTACTCAAATTTACATTGTGTTCCCAATAAGTTAAGCAGGGCAAGGCCTGGTTAGTACTGTGATGAGAGACCTCTGGGAAGCCCACTGACGCAGTGGGACGTCTGTAAAGTAGTTGTTGGGTCATCAGGCTTTACCCATATTTTCTTATGGCTGAATGGTGGCAGTGTTGGACATGTTGCTAAGTAATAATTAAAGAGTAAACAATAACCCAAAAATAGAAATTATTATAATAATGCATAAAATGTATGTAGAGCTTTTTGGACACTCAAAGACGCTCCTCATTATTCATTCACTCATACACAGTGGTGATAAACTACTCTAGCCACAGCTGCCCTGGGGCGCACTGACAGAAGTGAGGCAACCAGTATGTGCCATCGGCCTCAACCATTCACACACACAAATACGTGGCTTTGTTTTACAGTTACTTCCTAAATACTTTGTTACTGGCTGTATGCAAGCCTGTGTGCTCACGTCACTTTGAGCATATGAGTGAAATTGTTTGTAAAGCAACATGGAGAGCAAACCAAAATATCTGAGACCATTGGCATATTGTGCAAGATTAAAAAAGTTGTTGATGAAATTGATGAAATTGTTATAATATAATTCCCTAATACTGCCTGTAAGAGCCAAACATGTGCAATCATTGGCCTGTGGGGGCGCCTGTGTGTGTTAGGTCTGTGGAGGGTAGGTCTGTGGAGGGTAGGTCTAGCATAAATAGGCTCTCTCTAATGAGCCATGCAGGTGTGCAACCCGGTAGGGGCCAATGGTTTTTGACCGCTACTTTTATGGAGTTTTGTTGTCTTGATTTATGCATAAATAAACATTGATTTTTATTATACAATGAACATCTGTGGACTTATGCACGCTACGGTTAAAGCTGACACAATAGCCATCTGAAGCGCGTCAGCCATAGCGACCGGTGTTTGGGCACATCTCAGTGGCACAGGTACAGGTTGGCCACTACACTGCCATACCTACAATATGGTTCAACCTCTCTTCCTACTGCAAAAGAAAGCAATCAGAATAGTAAATTGTGTAGATTATTGCGCACCGACAAATACATTATTTATCAAATCATCCATCCATCAATTTTCTTCCACTTCATCCGTTGCCAGGTCGCGGCGGCAGCAATTTAATTGAGATGCCCAGACTTCCCTATCCACACTTCCTCCAGCTCACTTAGGGGGAGCCCAGGGCGTTCTCAGGCCATCTGGGAGACACAGTCCCTCCAGCGTGTCCTGGGTCTTCCCTGGGGTCTCCTCCTGGTGGGACACGCTCAGAACACCTCCCCAGGGAGGCATCCAGGAGACATCCGGAACAGATGCCAGAGCCACCTCAACTGGTTCCTCTCAACGTGGAGAAGCAGCATCTCTACTCCGAGCTCCTCCCGTGTGACTGAGCTCCTCACCCTATGCGCTCCCTCAGGGAGCACCCAGACACTTTGCGGAGGAGACCGCTTGTACCCGCTATCTCGTCCTTTCGGTCATTACCCAAAGTTTATGACCATAGGTGAGGGAGGGAACGAAGATTGACTGGTAAATCAAGAGCTTTGCCTTTCGGCTCAGCTCCCTCTTCACCAGGACGCCTGTCAATCTCACGCTCCATCCTTTCCTCACTCGTGAACAAGACCCGAGATACTTGAACTCCTCCACTTGAGGAAGGACCTCTGCACCTGGAGAGGGCAAGGTACTTTTTTCTGGTCGAGCACCAAGGCCTCAGATTTGGAGGTGCTGATTCTCATCCCAGCCGCTTCACACTCATCGTCAGCAAACAGCAGAGATGAATTACTCTAGTCGCCGAACCAGACCCCCTCCGACCCCTGGCTGCGCCTATACATTTTGTAAATTCTGTAACAATATTGTCTCCAGGAGTTCAAAACTAGAGACACACTTTAATCCAAGAGATATTGATGTTTACTCAAAAGGACTAAGAGTAGATGTGTTTCAGATTAGTTGGTCTATGTCTGGATGACACATTAAAAGAAAATACATAGAAAAAGAGTGAATCTACTATCTTATATCCACAAAATTGTTAAAATTGGCTTTAAGCTGAATGCTGCCATTTCAATCTGAAGAGACAGAAACATGAATGCATGAAAAAGATGTATTTGTTTGGAGCTTGAGGAGGTGCTGGGGAGGAGGTGGGTGTTAAGAGCCTCAGGACGCGCTGATTATCAGGAAGTGGCTGCTTTTAAAGTGCCCGCTTTGCTGTCAGTGGGTTGGCAAGAGACTGGCAGAGCTGTGTGATTAGCCCTGGACGGGTGAGAGCTGTGGCCGGTCTTTCAGTCTGAATTTGCGCTTCAGCTTCATTTTGCTGTTTCTTGGCTTTTCTAAGTTGTAGTGATAGGGTTGGGCTCCGATAAGTTCTCACTTCAGCCTAAACCCTTTCAGACATTGCCTTTTATTTTTGTGAATGATCTGCATCGTCTGCCTGAGATTGTGAAATCACTCCTACTGCTAATACGTTTTCCCGGTGAAGATGTGCACTATTTTAACAATATCAGTCAAAAA